ATCCTATTGCCTGGAAATATGTATAAGAATATTTTATCCAGACATACTTTTGCTATATATGGAAACCAAATGCTGACTAATCATATAAACCTTATGGTGCCTAAGCACAGCTGTAATCTGCAGCAGAACACTGTCACAACGGCAAAGGAAAATGTGGAAAACTAAGAAGTTAGCTGTGGTGCTGAGAAAGAGGAGAAAATGGTGATCAAAGGCACTGGAGGCCAGAGTAGACAAGAGGGAGAATTTCTAACTGGTTAGCTTTTAAGATACAAGTGACATATTTATGACTTATTCTTGTATTACTGAACTTTAACAGTCCAAGTAATGATTATCCATTTTCCAAGTTTATAGAAAAATGATTCTATAGGAGACCTGCTGACTCAGGATAATGGTAATAGGGTACAAAAGTCTGAATTTTGGTTTATTGGTTTATAGATAGCACCAGTTGGTAGCGATGGAGCCATTTAGAGCTGTTTATCGAGACACGCCATGCGTCTTGGTTGGGAACAGACAGACCCGCCAGCTAAAGAAGGGGAGGTGAGAGTTGTAACCTGCCCGCTTGGCCTTATGTTTCAGGCACGCACAGGGACAGGGCATAGACAGAAGGACATACGTGGCATCGGCACTCGCGGTGACTGCTGGGGGACAGCACGGCTCGGCAGCCATTGGGGGCAGTCTGGGCATCACTGCTCCCATGCTGGGGAATATGAGGACTTTTATTTCTATGGATACTCCTTATCCTCCAAAATTACACCACGATAATCTGAAGAAATGGAACCAATTTCCCTTTAAAAGGATAAAACAAATGGAATTTGTAGATTCTTAAAGGGATTTCAATTTATGGAAATGGGATTATATCGATCCCCAAACATCAAGATGGAACCGCTTGGAACGTTTCTTTGAAACTTGCATTCTTGGCTGCTAAGACTTTGTGCTGGTGCTTTTACGTTAACAGAAGTTTGTGGAAATACACAAATCCCTTTCACTAATGACTAAACATCAGGAGAGAATACGCAATATCAATAAATCTACTTAAAAATGGGAGTAACATTCTTGAATAAATCAACCTCAAGATAAACCTCTACAATGCTACCATTTTATCTTCAAATCAGTTTTTGATCAAATCATATTCCTTTAGGATATATTAGTCATAACATGAGGGACCACAGCATTTAGGGAAATGACTCTACTGCACATGTGAAAATCCAGTGGACTTCCCACAGCGTGGTTTGGAAGTCCATGTTATCTTGGTTATACCGATCATCTGAGGAACATCTCGCCAAGCTACTGCTGGCATGTGACCGCCTTACACTCACTTTCCAGTGGCATATTAAAGATACGACCCAACTCCCAGAAAACTAATACAGATCATTGTTGTTCACTGTGAAATTTGAGAGTACAGCAATACATAATACAGAGCATCCCAGCCAGCATTTATTACTGGAGTTCATCAGTCATTTACTGAATCCCCAGTACAAGCAATGGGAGAAATACGAACTTGAAGAACAGCATCAGTTCTTGCTTTTCACTTATCTTAAAGTGCTCATCACTATGGCATACTTAATTAATGCTTTCAATAGGTGTTAAAAATTCCTACGCTGTAATGCAGTAAATGCATTATGAACAGGCAAAGGCAAGTGGCTATAGTTTAGAAGCACAAAGGTGAGATAATGGCCTTCCACATCACTGAACTGTCAACCTCATTTAGCATAAAGCCCAGCATCTGGAGATTTCAAATCATACAGCCGTTTAAAAATATATAGAATGTTAAATTAAATGACAAACACAGGACATGTCACCTTTTAGAGGCAGAAATGTAAAACCAAAGCATATGTTCTCCAACTATATTTGCTTCAGGATCAGCAATATTTTTGTAACCTCATTAGTTTCTTGACTTGGTTTTAAACATGGAAGGATGGATATACAAATAAGTTACAGGTCCTCCACGTAATATCCTCAATTATGTCAATCTCTACTAGCAAAATAAATTAAGAACTCTGGGTTTAACTCTTACAGAGAGTCTGGGAGGTGAAGACAATGAGGAAAAATTTCTGCAAGCTGTTAGGGATGAAAGTTACTCTGTATTTTGAGCTCTGCATCCAAGAGGCACGTGTAAGTATCTAACTTTCAAATCTACATTTACAAACAAATCCTGCGGCCTCTAAATGTGCTGAACTCTCACTGACAACCCCAGAAGTCCCATGCGGTTAGCACGCAGAAACGGGCCCAAACTCAGCTACCCTGATCGAGGGCCAGCCGCTGTCTGCAAGCAGTTTATCTGTCTCTGCGTGGCACGGAGCCTAAGCTAATAAACTGTAGCTGGCTCCATGCAGAGCTAGCTCGGGTCTCGGCACCGTGGTCTTGTCACCGCTAGAGCGGGAGACTGCCGGGGAGCCAGCCCACGGGTGACACAGCCAGAGCCGTGGGGAAGCGACAAACCCCACTCCTGAGCATCATCCAGGTACGTCCGCATGGTGCTTCAGCTCTCCTGCTACCCTCGACAGCCCAGCTCCCCGACAGAGGGGGAGCGGAGTGTGCGCGCACCCTCACCTGCGCTAGAGGCTGCTACCCATCTGACATATCACTGTACTTTAGTCACGTTACGTCACTTCAGGGCACGCGTTCAGCACTTCATAGCATGCACAATCTTTCACTGAAGTGTTATTAAAAGGCTATAACTAGGCCAATAAAGATGAATGTTACTTGTACACGCATAGCAATGGGGAAGTGGTGCCTGCTGATGACATTAAACAAAACATCACACCCACGATTCAAATTCTTCTTCAGCTACCCGCTGTATAAGCAGATAAGTTAAAAGTTGCCGATTTAACAAACAGCAGGGTAGTGCTGAAAAGTAGCCATGCCAGGGTATTACATCAGATAGAGCTGGCATCCCTCTATCCTCCCCTTCCCACCCCGCATCGAAAAGGATTTTATAGCATGAGGAATATTTGATACTGCCCAACGATCAACAATTAATCGTCTTCCTGAACCCTGATTCAGAATGTCTCTAAGCACATGGTTGTGCCTTCTCCTGAGAACTTGCTTCAGTAAGGATGGATTCTCTTTCTTCACAGGCACTGTAAGACTAGCACAAACCAACCACAGTATAATTTTTTTTGCAAGCCAGATTCTCAAAGTTTGTCACATGTTTCATTGGAGAGAAAGGAAAAGGCATCAGCAAAACTTTGAAATAAAATCATGAAATAGTGAAAAACTGCTTGCAGTTTAGCTTATTGTGCATGAAAGTTTAAACTTTGCTTTCAACCTCGGTTTTCCAAACATGCTGTCATTCGCTATAATATGGGTTAAAAATAAGAGAAAGCAAAGATGAAATGTAAATGATTTAAATGCATGCATATGTTCTTTTGTAAAATGCATAATGCATCTGCAAGGTTTTTCCTCATATTTTGGACACAAGTCAAGGGGGAAATGGTTTGCTTATGATACAGTGAATTTTTTATCTAACTTCAGTGGTAAAATGTACTTCCATGTAAGCATTTCACTGTATGCTGTTTGTTGCTGCTGTTTTGGTTTTTTTTAAAGCTTAAATAGAAACACCAAAACCAAAAGATTAACACAAGAGTATTTCTTTTCTTCTCCAAATTCTTTCATGGCAACTTTCTGTTTGCTAAAAAAATCCACCAGCAACACAAACAACCTTGTAGATGATCTATGGTCAGTTACGGAATTTGACATTCAATCACAAATAAGTTTAGAGAACGTTATGCTTACTTTAAAAATATATTTTGAGTGATGGTCAAACAGTATAGCACTCAGTGATTTGCTCAGCATTCATGCTGTAAACAATATAGGTGAATGTCTGAAGAGGTACTTTTTCAGTTAATGCAAATTCAGTTAATGGAAATTGTCCCGGTAGCAAAGAGCTAGGAAGTATCTTACTACAGCAGTGGCTTCTACTGCTTTTTTGTATCAAGGCAAAAATACCTACGTGCTATCTTTCTAGAGGCCTCCTTTCCCGGAGTGGTACAGTCAGGACCTTTTGCAGGGCCCTAACATTAGAAGAGGCTACGAATTAGAGAGTTTCCAGTTCCTGTACTGCATTTCTCACATCAATGACACTGTAACTTGGAGCTAAGGAAAAGTAACGCAAAAGACAATGACAGAGCCAGCTACCAAAACTAATGCCCAAACCCAACCAGATACTCTCGAGCAAGCACTTGGTCTCTGTGCCAAAGCCTAGCAAATTCTGCGAATTATCCAGAAATACAGGTGGGTTGTACACAGCCAGGGCTAGCTGCGTCTGGGACAAAAGCCCAGGCAAGCGAGCACGTGTAGGTCCCACTCTCTCCGAGCAGATGTGAGCTCAAGGGAAAGCAGCTGTGCTGGACGCCCCTATAGGTATTCTACACAGCACACCCTGCACAAGAGGCACAAATGGTTGCCCGCTGTTGCTGGAGGGAAATATCAGGCAAGAGAGACTTGGCAAGCCTGGGATTTCAGAAAAGGAGGGCCTGCACCCCACTTGACCTGGGGACATGGGATTTTTGATAACACTATTACAATCACAGAGCTTATAAAATATATTTGGAAAGGCTTTCGTGTTGGTTTTGGGATAGCATACGAAGGCCCCAGGAATCCACTCTGAGGCCTTAAATCTGTGGCCAAACTCCAGCAAAAACCATATGTTAGTCATATTACCACCTTTTTCTTTTCCCTGTTCTTGCTCCATTTTAAAGGACCACGCCCTGCGCAGTAAATGAAAGACAGCCTCAGGGCAATAGAGGCTCATATACCACTTCTCTTATCTGGAGAAATCCTGTGCTAATGATGTGAATAATCCCAAGTCTGCTTTCTGTCATTTACTGACTGTGACCTGCTTGTTTTCACCTTTACAAGGGGAATAGCACCAGAAGGTTTATGTACGCGAAGTACTTGGCTTTCCGTGCTCCCTTTAAGACTCTGCGTTCTTTTTGGAAGGAGGCGAGCCCCAGGCAGGCTGTCCCCAACAGCCAGCAGTGGTCAAGACTGTAAGAGATCTATTTGCAGAGCCCCCCCAGCTGCAGGCACTGCCAGCGACTCTGTACTTGCACACGAGAACTGGCCGAGGAGGAGGACGGTGACAAACAGGGACTCCTTTCACCCCACGCTCCCCTTCCCGGCTCACCCCACGCATCGGCTGCTCTCTGCAGCAACTGCTTGCTGGCACCAGCTTTGGCTTTTTGTAGCACTCCACTCATAGCTAGAGTACTAACCGGCACCCAATTTAGCTTTGGTTCTAATAAAAAGTGAAAGTTAAAAGCAATGCAAGCAGCAGATAAAGCACTATTAAAAACTGGCTGGGATCATGCCAGGGATGGAGTCCAAGGCAGGGGGAGGAGCCAAGACGACTGCAAGCTGATGGGTATTTCACAGTATTGGATAATTAAGAAAAACAAAATATTTTCCATCTGTTTTTTCACCCCTTACGTCATTGAGGCAATAAAATATATACAAGTACGTACCAACAGACTATATTTCAACTTTGATATAAATATTTATTTCCAGCAGAGAACATCCTTACTTCAGCAAGAAGACAACAGGCCGAGGAGGCTGTGATTATAACGCCCTCAAAGTATTAAACTCCACCTTAAAATAGATCAAATGCCTGGCTAATTTATCATGCCAAATAGCTCAGTTTTATATGGTATATACCTAAACTCACACTTCTGCTCACTCATCCATATTACACTCTAATGAACAATAGCTAAAACCTGCTGATTTTGGATTAACAATGGTGAAAATAGGTGCATATGCTGACATTACATTAAAAAGAAAACCCACGTGAGGACTGATGCTCTTGTTTAAAGCTATTTCAGTATAGATCCAGATATAGTCTGTGCAGAGAGTTTGGGTAGTGTCTTTCCACCATGAGCAGTGGGTTGGACCAGATGAACTCTGAAATCAGACATTAAACCTGTGGTGACTTGCAAAAGAACAAGTTTTTGTGGCTCTGGAAATATTAGAAAGTGTCAAACATTTCATTATTACATAGTAAAGTATTATCCACAAAACAATATATTATCTGTAGTATGAGGAAATGCAAGTGAGAAGAAAATTAGCAATTCATATTGAAAGTAATTTCTGGTATGAGACTGGTGGCCAGCTCACACACCGCACAGGTGAGGGCTCAACGGCTGCGCAGTAAACCAGCAGCTCATCAACTCCTTCCTCAGTTTCTCCTTCCTTTTTGTGCAGAGTGTTTTGATTTAAAATGCAGCACTACTATCTCACTACTTGGAAAAAAGCATAAGTTACACACGAGCCACCACACTTATTTTTAAAAGCTATTTTTGCCACCTAATGAAGAGGGGAATAAAAAAAATTAGGGTTCACTATGAAACTAGGAGACATTGCTTAGCAGCTGCTGCACCACTTCCAACTGTCCCTGAAAAACCAAACCCAAAAAACATTCTTGGAGACTGCCTCATGCCCAGTTTTACACCTACAGATTTAATTGCTCTAAAGAGGCCATCACAACCTATAGTATTCAGGTAGTTGCTGTGCTCTAGGGACATGGTCATCAAGCCTCTTTGGGTATTTTACAGGCAGGAGGAAGCTGAAAGACAAAAGGAAGAGTCCACAGAGCCCTGAGGACAAGGGCTGATGTTCTGGAACAGTTCCTGAAAGCAGGGGAGGACAAGCTGGAGGATCTCAAGAGGACCAGAACCAGCAAGCAATCCTGATAGTTAAAAACCTAGCATCTGACAGATACTGCAGTCCAAAGTGGAGGAGATACACTTGAAACAAGAAATAACGAAGCATATTTAGAGGTTTTTCAAAGCAAACATGGAAAATGGTGAGCAAATACTTTGAAGGATAGCCTAATTTAGTGAAATCATTAAATAAGAATGTCTCTGTTATAAACTAGAAAACTGTTTCTAAATGAAAGCTTTCCCTTAAACAATACAGACTCTAAAATTCATTTGCAGATGGATGTTCAAATACTCTTCTTTTAACTTGCACATCTAATGCCGTTTTAAGAATATTTCAGTCTAGATTAATAGATGAGCTTAGAATACATTACAAACTTATAAAAATATCAAGATTTGTAAAACGATTCCTTTAAGCACTGTATAAAAAGAGCAGAAATGTCAATGAACACACTTCTTTGCAAATACTGTATGGTGTGTTATTTCTGTGCAATCTATAAAAACACAAGTACAGACACTGAGGTTTCTGGATCTCTTGTAAGTTTAACAGTACCTAGGAGCTCTTAGATCTCAAGCTATAATAAATATTGTATCCTGCAGGAGCCCATCGGGAATCTCAGCTCGTGTGTTGTTCCATGGAAGACTGTGGTGTCAGATATGATTAGAATCAACATTTTCCACTTATTCGGAATTTTAAAGCTACCTACACAGAACATTAGCAACAACCGTTAATGAAAGACAATTAAGGGGTTACATACAACAATCTTATATTCAGAATGAGTTTGCGTTAGCTACTGATATACAAAATACCCATTGTACATTTTGGATTTTTTTTCCCCATAAACAAACAGAAGGTGTTTATATGCTTGGACCAGACCATGCTCTAGCACACTGCTATTTTTCAGCTGACAAACCATTATATGAACTGAAGGTGGCTTCCCCAACTGAAAGTTAGTACGTAACACTTAAGCAGTAAGACACTCTACTGTCTGCATTAATGGACCACTGGTACATGCGTCAAGTGGGTTGTGTGACATGAGAACAACTGTCTTTGAGCAAGAGGACTGCACCAATGACCATTAACGTGGCCCCTGGAGGCCTCACTGCAGCTTATCTTCATATATAAAGAAAAAACCCTATATCTTGTATTTGGTTGTGTTGGTTAAGTCACAGTTATGCTTTCATCTAGCTATGACATCAACATGGAAATTGCTGGGTTTCTTATTTGTCAAAGTTCCCTGTGAACTATCAAAAATCACAATAGCAAGATGAACAAGGTGATCAGCCTTTGGGGGATTAAGCACCTTGAGGAACTTAAGTTGCTTAAAGTCAAATTCAACCTAACACAGCAGTGTCTAGAAATAGTTGACTTTTGATTTTCATTTGCATCTGTGAAACTAACTTGCATGTCGCACCATTTTTTTTTAGCTGATGGACACTTACGTGCCAAAGCACAACCATCTTAGAAGAGATGATTAGAAGAGATAAAATTGCTTCAGTTACTACGAGCCTCCTCAGCTAAACCAAAGGCAAACTGGGAGGAGGAATAACAGCCTCCTCTGTCACTAGCAGCTACCCTACATCACTACGTCACGCTGCGCAGAGTGAGTTCCCATCTCCAGAACCGGCAGACTAACCCACCCACAACCATCATAGGGAGACAAAAATACATCAGTATACAACAATTCTGCTGCCTTTCAGTCACTGTTCCCGTGCCCTTCCTCTCCAGTATACTCCTCCTGCCTACAGAAAACACCCACCAGTGTTTCAAGACATTAATGCTACTCCATGTATCCCTGCAGCTGAGTCTTTTCCCAAGCCAGGCAATGATCCAGCAGCAAGTGCCCAGTCAGTAGTGTCAGGTCGTTTTAATTTCTCTTCACATCTCCATAGTCTATAGGGCATAGCTCTTTCTAGATGTAATCATGTATACTGCATTGGCATCTTGGAGCCTGTTGAAGTCAGTTCTGTCTTAAGGCTCTCTTCAAAAATCATCAGATAACATTTTCCCAAATTAGATGAAATCAATCAAGTTGAAAAAATTCTAAGTATAAGAATTTTGTATTATGCAGCTCACGCACACACACATATTTAGCAAGACAGACGAATAGGATGGAGAGAGTATGAGCGCATGCAAGTGTGTGCTATTGCGCCGAGAAAACAAAAAACCCCTGAGTACATCCCACACTCTATCACTATTCTAGGAATAATACATAAAATGCTTTTCAAATAAGTAACATAATAAGTGTTTTAAATAGGTATCATATTAACAGAATTTGCTCAGAAGTTATTCCAGGAAAGAACCATAACTTAAACTCATTTAAACTTAAGCTGACAGAATGTAGAAACAAAACAAGCAGTGCTGGGTATGTGGTTTTGCTGTTACTAAACAGGTGATGCTCTCTAAGAACAGCTTGTTATGTGACCATTATTAAAACCTCTCAATTGCTGTGAAGAATAGACCAAGGGCCAAATCTCTTCCTTGGCTTCAAAGCTCAGCATTATACTCGGAGGATCTCAGTGCAATCTCTATCTGCAACAACAAACCACCTTTATACCATCCAGGTAATTACAGGTTCAGGTCAAGGACTCCAGACCATATTGATTACATCTCTCTGCAACAAGGACCCTCCAGCGCTGGCCGGCTCCACTCAAGCAGGGCAGCTCAAGTATCCGTGACGCCAGGACTCCCCGGGCCCTACCAGCGCCCGTAACGGGAAACCAGCGACTGCTCAGGCCTGTCAGTTATTGCCTGTGGCAATAAGGACAGCCTGGGAATTCATAATGTTGGTGACTTCATCTGCCAGCTGCATTCACACATCTTTACTACCTGAATAACTGATCTCCGCTACTCCAAAGCAGCACTTTCTGGTGTATAGCATTTGGGAATAAATACTTGATCGCACATACAACAGAAAAGAGCTCAGATGGTTTAAGGTGTGACAGCAGAAGTGTTTATTAAATTCCAAGTGAGAGCATTGCTGGACAGTAAAAATTTGTCCCATGGTCCCTATCTCACAGGTGTGGTGATGAACAATAAAAGATCCTTCAGAGGCAGAGGGGAGGGACGAAGGGGAGGCAAACTCCATCCCCCACAAAACCCAAGTCAATTCTTCTGTTCATTAAACCCTCTGCAGGCAACAAGCTATCTGCCCATGACCAGCCAGTCGCACACAAAAGAAAGGGAAATACTAAATTCCAAGCCAATTTTAAGTGGGCACCGATTGAAGTAACCAGAAGAGAGCTTAGTATTGTCAGAGTTTCATACAACAGTAATAAATAATCTTCATTAAAAAGTGATGTGTGCATCCCTAAGAAGCACAGCACATGCCAGCTTTCAGAAAAGAATATAAAGATTCCCCCCACCCCACACACAATCAAAGAGAAAAAAAAATGCTCAGGATCTTTTTCTTCTGCCATTTAATTTTATTCATTGAAATCCTTCCCACTCTAACTTCTGTATTTGTCCTAAGCAAGAAAGAAATTGAGATCTCCTCCAAGTAGAAAAGGAAAAGGCTGATGCAAAACAGAGCTCAGACAACTTCTTTGTCAACACTTTCCTACTCTGCTGACAATGCAACAAAATCATTACCTGACTGATGGGTAAGTGTCAAAAACCTCTTTGTATGAGGGAATAAACAAGGCTTTCCATAAACACACATACAGCTGCATACCCTTTGTTTTAACTGAGCAGGATTGAATTAACAGCTATGACTGAGCATACCTGAGTACCTGAGCCCTTCAACACATTTGTTACAGTTTAAGGGAAACGCTTGCCCTTACAGACTCAATGCAGCTGTGCGATCAAATTTACTGTGATCAGGAACTGCTGCAAAATCCTTTCTCTAGAGGTTTTCTATTTCTGAAAGTTCAGAGTTGTTGTTCCATACAGATATCCTAACCTTCCTACACCCTTTAACTTATACATTATTTATTAGTAGTAGAGTTCTATCAGGTTTGATTTTCAGGTATGTAACATACATGACATACATCATTCATCCACAGGTTACAGTATAAAAATTCAGAAACGTGCCTGGAAATATTCAATTACATGCCTAGCCTATGCTTATATCTTCTAGATTAGTCTTCATCATTCTCTAGATATCCTCAGCTAGCCAAAAGTTGTATCTAAAGCTAGTCACATCAAAGAAAGGAACAGCATTCAATGTATACAGGTAATGTAAAGTTTTCAAGTCATGCCTTGCTCTTCTGAAATAGGGCCAGCTCATTCTGCAAGAACTACTTTTTTTTTTGTCACACTACAGATTTCTGTCTCAGGGTTGGTTGGTTTGGTTGTGTAAAGAGTGTGGCCTTCAGCTGCAGCATCTCCTACAGACAGGGCACTTATAAGGTTTCTTTTCCATCTCTGGTGCCTAATAAAGTCTTAAATGTAACCTCACTTACTAAGACCTACCCCACCTTTGTTAAGCCCAATGGGACCAGCTGATAGCCTCAACACTTCCTTGAAAGGATGGACACACAGACACACGAGCACAGACACCTGCTCGCTACACACAGTGTCACTTACTATGTGTACAGTAGTGGTTTTTTTGCTGCATTATTATTAAAGGCTTCCTGCTTTATACAGCTTTAAACTCAGTGTTGTCCCTTTAACATTTCTAACTGCCAATCTGGAATAGCATCTGGAATTACAGTGCATTTAATCCTTGAGGGTATATTCTCTCTATGATGCATATGACTAAAATGTGTGCATTGAGGGACAAATGTCCAGTAGCTTTAGGTAACTACATTTTTGCAAACTTTTTTTAAAGATTCGATTAAAAAAACCCAAACAAACCAACAGAGAGTATCTTAGCAGAATTTTAACTCGAGATAATCCTATTGAAATACGCATTTTTTTAATTTATCCAAGTAAACTTTGCAGATACAGCCATCCACCTTGAAAATGCCATTGCAAATTTTCATGATTGATTTTCACATATTAGAGTTTTGTACTTTTTAAATGAAGATTTTTGCAAATGATCGTGAGATTATTGCCATTAGTATACCATAGTTTGAGAGACATGTGAAAATCATGATTAAAAAAATTACACAAATTTCACAGTTGTCACCAAGGAGGGAGAAGGAAGGAAGCTATAAAGAATGGCAGAAGAATAATGGGAGATGATAAACATGTACTTGAAATCTTTTGATAGGAAGAAAAAGTGATGGAGTTAGATAAGAAGAGGCGCCATGCTGGTTGCATCTCTAAGCAACAGGCAATCAAACAGCCAGATAAGCATCTTCATAAAGTGCAACAGACTCGAATGCATGGGTCATAACTGAAGAATCACTTCCTGGTTCAGCTTAGGTAGTAAAAATTTATTACCTACTTAAAAAATCCTTCAAACCTAAAAACTTATTTTCCAATAAATTTGTTTTCCATAAAGAATGTAAGCCATTTAGGGCATGCCTTGGTAATAGCAGGAAATGAGAATACTTACAGTAGTGGACTATAACGCAAGAAATACAATGTCGTACATGAATGGCATTTAAAAATAAAACCTTTAGATTCAGAGCTGAGCTTAATGTAATTTTCTGCACATCTCAAAGGTGGGAAGAAAAGAAAGTAAAGCATAAAATACTCTTCTTCCCTTTGCTGGCTCTGTTACAAGAATAGCACGAGATCTCAAAAAACAGTGCATGTTTTTTTCTTGTCTCCCCCTTACTCTGTAGCAGAATTCACACCCCTATACCATCACACATAATCTGACATATCTACCCTAAATTTGGACCAATAATTTCTGCATGGGAAAGGACAAGGATCAGGCAATATGAAAACTGCAAATAGATGGTAAAGTCCCCGAATCAAAAATCAATTCAAATCCAAACTGTCTGGCAGTGAAGTTAAATAAAATACTGCTATCAGCATGGCCCTAACAAAATCCATGTATTGTTTATAAGAAACTTATGAGGTGTTATAACAAAACTGAGTCACTGCTGTACAGTAAATATATTTTCAGTGTCATAACAATGTATAGAATTGACTTTGGCAATTTTAATATGAACACACATGTTAAAGGCATTACCAATAGAGCTTCATCACATTCACATGAGCCATTTCATATTAAGGCCCCATCCACACTACAGGAAAGGTTGTTTAGCATAGAAGAGGTATGGTCCTATGTGGTTCATTGTTTCTATTGTAGATGGAATAACACAGTTTTAGAATGCATTACGGTTACAGAATGGTTATATTTCAGAATTAATACACATCCCTGCTATAGGTAACGGCACTGCTCCGTTCACACACACGAGGGGAAAAAAGCTACCCTGATAACCCAGATATCTCTACCTGTATCAGCTGGCACAGTCACGTTGATAGTGAAGAACAGCTATGCCATTAATCACTCTGAATCTGAAGTGTCAGATACACAGACAGGAGCACTCCTATGATTCAAGCCTTTAACCTTTTAAGGGTAATAGGCATAGATGAACTAGTCCAAAAAAAAAAAAAAAAATCATAACTGATGCATTTATGTTTTCTTCTGTATCAAACAATTATTTTCAAAATTACTCTGCCATGTACTAAAACAAATAAAATTCCCTTCAAATAACCAGCATCAGATGTTTGTCTAAGCTCAATGTGAATTAATTTAACAAGTTTTAAATATTTGAAAATTGAATTTATAATGACAATCCTCAATACCCAAAGTAAATTTAGTTATTATTGAACTCGGTTATAAACACTTCTAAGAAATATCCTGTAATACCGAAATAAATTAATTTGGCAAACAATACAATATCTTGGACTCAGAATTTATATCAATAGCAAACAGAGTCTGGAACAGGAGCTTTTATTTTAACTCTCTCTAAAACAACTATCAGAAACCAGTTTCTGTATGTGTTACAGTCTCTTTTTACAGTTTAACCTCAATCCAATCAGCAGTCTCCAGGGATTTTCAAATCGCTGAAGATTAAAATCCTCTCTGACTTGACTGTTTGACTAATGCTGTGTGTTTAATAATTCTACTTGTGAGAGATTTTATTTGACAAAATCCTGCTGTGTGAACCCTTCAGACGCTGTACAGCTGTACTAGAATATAAAGCTCTGCTGTCCTTGTTTCTTTATACAGACTATACCCCACCACTGAGAAAAAAAGAAGAAACCTTTATAATACATATATTACTATGTTGATATTAACATAACCACTGTAATATTAAATTTACACGCTCTTTTAGAGCAGAGTAGTGAAAATGTGCCTATTACACAAACATTAGATAAACCATCCTGTTGTCTTGACTGTCCACAGAAATTAATTACACTTATGATTACATTTCAATGAAAGCTATTTTATAAATGAGATGGAACTGTAATATTCTATGCTTTAGGCATTCATTAATAAAAGCATTTCAGTGTTAGTATTTGCAAATGTTCTGCTTTTTAGTTTAGGCAATTTTTAGCATTCTATAGCTCATGTTAAACTTAATGTAAACATTGTGTTCATATCTTACCACAGTGCTGTGACTTCAGATTTGAGCGGTAAGAAGAAAAAAAGTCATCATTATGGTAGCTTTCAGTAAGTATTTGTATAAGACAGCACTTACCCTATTGCACAGCTGAAAATCATGGTATCCTTTTAAGTATATGGCAACGGTTAGTAAACATGTTACCAGACAAAAAAAGACAAGATTGATGAATGTCATGAATATCAAAGAAAACATGAAATCAACATGTTTCTACCTGAGGTAGCATCAATCACTGTTGAAACTCCTCTGCGATCAGAAACTGGACGTGATGACCCCGGCATACTAACAGGTTCTGAACGAACGGGCTGAATCCTAAATAATAAGTTATAGTTACCACCTGTGTCAAAATCATTGCTCATGAGGACTGTAATTAAATCACAAACCTGAATCAGCTGAATCAATTAAGCAACTATTTATTTTCAAATCGGTCAACTGCTGAAAACTTTTGTTTTCCTTTGCTTTGTGGAGCCAAGATCTGGATAATCCATCCAGAGACAGATTGAGATTCTACACAAAGTGAGTACCCCCAAACTATGTCTCAGACGTGAGCTCTCAGAAAGCCTCAAAGGAAAATGCTCACCGTATCCAAACTGGTTAAAAAGCCTCTATTGCCCTCCTGAACAGCAGCATTTTCTTTGTCAGTTTAGGAGAAAAGACACATTTGTAATTGTCTATTCCTTTTGTAACATATATCTATATTAATTTTTTTAAAATTTCTGCTTGCTTTCTGCATATGTATACATATCTACAATAAAAAAATAATATATTTGACAGCTGTATCCTTACTTGTGGGAGTAATTACGTGCAAGGAGAAATCACACATTTCAAAACTGTGTATTTTCAGTCCAAGGACAATCTGCCCAGTTTTAATGGGATTAGTCATATTATCCATTTCTCTTGTTTTACTCGTAAGAGTTTCAGACAGAGTCCCAAACAATCCAAGTCCATACCACAGAACTTTGGACTTCAAATCACATGCAGAGTCAGAGGCATGGAAAGTCGTTAAATCTTGAGAGTTACCGGACAGGACACAGAAACACACGGTGCATAAAGCACTTCTACAAAATCACTAGCTGTCAGTAAATATAAACCCACATTTACCTTCGCTCTCCTTCCTTCCCTTCCCTAGGCCCACCCCCTGCCCCCAATTCCAAATCAGCCAATGTCCAAAACCAGATGAATTAAATACATGAAAAAGAATTACAAGGAAGGAAGCAAAGGAAGGGAAAAAAAAACAGGGAGGGGAAAAACATTCCAGGAGTTCACTTACTGTTCCAACACACTGACCGCTTCACAGTCAGCACCTAATCTATGGCATAAAGCTCCCACTCATGTCTGAGAAAATGAATTTATTAAGCAATGCAGAAACTGTGAAAGCCAAGACGATGCTGAGCAAGGCCACCAGACTTTGTACTGTCTTTCACTGTCATTTACCCAAGAAGGGTCAGCAAAAAGGAATCTAAGCTGCTTGGGCTAGATGAATTTTTATTGTTGTCGAGTCACAGGCTCTTCTAAGACTTTCATCTGGACAAGCTTGATGAAAACTAATACACGTTCTACACAGATGGCCTCATTTAAGCATGAGGCAAGTTATTCACACAACAAATGTGAAACAGCTTGGAAATTGATTTTATTTTTTACCTGAGACTGTTGAGATCAAGATCATCTGTATCAAAGTCCAGAAGAGGCTGCGGGGTGTCACTTGGACCATGCGACTGCAGCACTGAAGAACTGGATGAAATGACGGTAGTTTGGCCTGAGGGATGGATTGTTTTGAACTGGAACTGTGGGCCCATCCATAGGCGTCGATGAGGCCCGGTGTGAGTCACTATTTCGACCTGCGGGAAGACGGGGAAATGCTTAACAAAAAACTGCAATATATTGAGTGGTTCCTTCAATACACTGAATCCTGCTGTTCTCAAACAGAGTGTTTTGTGCCATCAGTCCGGAAGAACGCCGAACAAGGGAAAATTTGGAATGCCTTTTCTAGACAGCAATGCTCTAGCCAAAGCCAAGCGCTTCTTGCGGAGCCTTGAAAGCCCTTGAACCACCAGCTCGAGGACACTGCACCCTGGTTCTTAAACTGTTCTGAAGACCAGCGCTCCATCCTGGCTATCACTTCACCTGACCCTGTTTCATTCCTCCCCTTGCCGTTACGAAATACAGGCTATAACTCAAACGCTAAAAAGCTACCCTTGTGGCGTAACAAACAGGAATGCATTTCCATCTGCATCTACACGGAGTAGACAGAGGAACTGAAAGTCTGCCTCCCCCAGATAACCTCAATCCTGACCAGGTCAAGGGATGCACTTTTTACAAGCAAGCTGTTACAGCTTTGTTACAGCTGCTTTCTAAAAGTTCACACATTAAACAGCGCTGCTTCACATGTATATAGTGTGAACAGTATTTCAAATCAAAGCTCGTAATTACTGCTGGCATATCTGAGGATACCGCTGGCAGAGACCATCTTGCTGGGAAGCAACAAGATTTGTAACGGAGAGCCATGTGAAGTGCGCTGTGAGACACTGAACAGCCCAGGTCACGCTCATTACTAAGCAGGTGTAATATAAACATATATGTGCGACAGACGGAGTTTAGAAGGGCAGCTACACACACACATATATATATTCATTTAACCAAAATTCCAACAATTAAGATAGAAGGGTGTTTGCTTGCAATGAACAACCACATATGACTTAAATGATAGGTGTATATGAGATATGTATCTGTACGTATGTTTTTGTGTAGATATACAAACAGACACAGAAGCTTCTCCGTTCTGCGCCTACTTCCAAACGGCACAGAGAATACAGACGGTGTGTCTAACAAACAATAATTTCAAATATTCAGATTTTCCTCTAGGTACTGGCTCTCAATAAGAGTCTAAATATGAACTTTCGAAAAATAAGTTATTTCAGTAAATGAAGCATCCAAAATATTTTCAAACTGTCTTTTCATGCTGATAACTATAAACCTGATGAGTATCAATTCTGGCAAACTCTTAAATAAGCCAACTATAGGAATGCAAACAACCATGAAAATTTAAGATGGTAACATTGTTGGAAATGTATATGATCAGGAAAATTGGGCCTTGTAAATAAAAGGGTAAACAAAGCATAAGTCTTCTGTAATACAATTTTAAAAATAAAAAAGAGCCTTTAAAGATCAGAAGAAGGAAATATGAAGTGAAAATACGAAGCTCTGGTGAACTCATACTTTTAAGATGACAAAAATAGACTATTAAATTCCTATCAATTTCTGCTAAAACAATGATCAGCTTCACAGCAAAAATGCAATTTAATGAGGAAATGAATGAAAATATATTTTTGTGTATGTATGATATAGATGTGTACTAGCAGCAATTCTTAACTCTTTAAGAAGCAGTTTTAAACACTGGATAATGTTGTTCTAAGTTCTCTGCTAATGTAAGACGACAAACGCACAGTCTATTTAACACTATTTCCATCTTTGCATTTATCTTAGCGTAACTCAGATTGACTGTAGACATTTCTGAGGCAAGTAGCTTTTATGTAGCAGTGTAAATTAGGCCACAGATAAAGTAATCTGTATATTTTAAGCTTGAAACCATCAGTGTCACAGAGCCGAGAGGTAAACAGATGCCTTTGCAATTTTACTGAGGCTACGGCCAGATGTTCCTATTCACTCTCCTGTTGTGTGCAGGACAAACATATTGTATCTACTTCACACTGACAGCACACATTACCCACTGTTCTAATTGAAAAGTTGAAGTGAAGGGCAGTGTTTTTTCACTGCATGCTGTTACTGCTGATAACAACACTTTAATTTTGAAAAACATACTTGCACTTTAGGCTTAATCTAAAGTGGCTTGCTTAGAGAATGCTAGCATCTTCATGCTCAAAAGAGCTATCATCACTCTTTTCACTTAGCAAAAATTAAACATTCTGGAAGCATTCTCTGAATTATCCGTGTTCTGTGACATCATTTGGGATTTTTTTTTTTTTTTTCCTTATAAATATATTTACTCTTCTAGAGGGATAGATGTGACGAAGTTCAAGCAGTCTTAAGTTCCTTTGACATTTTATGTCTTCCAAGAATTAGTAATAAACCAACCCCTATAATGTAGGTTTACCTTACTCTCTTTTTCCCAAGGTTGCCCACTATACCAGAAAGTCACCAGAACAGTAAAATAAGCTAACCTATCCAAACAGTACTGGAGAGGATAGGTGCAATCTTGGCCCCAGTGAGCTCAGTGATAAAATTCCTGTTGACTACACTGATTGAGTAGTTTCACCATCTTTATGCTCTGACAAATTAGATACAGCATAAGCAAATAAGATACATCAATGTGCAGCCACATCTGAAAACTTAAGCCAGGTAAGTGGATTCACATGAATAGATTCCCCAATGAATGCCACTCCCGGAACGGTACATGTGGAAACCTAACTTCTCATTTTAGGAAAATGCTGTGTATGATTTATTTACCAGTGGGAGAAGCAAATCACATCCATGAATATTTCATATTTATGCCAGACACCCCAGCAACACATTTAATGCATCACTCCCGTAAAAACATTGTTCTTAAACCAAAGGAAACTCACCTAATTTGTCAGGATGAATTCCATGTATCAGGTACCCTGTAATTGCTTTGGTAAATACAGAGCTTTTGTAATTTTTATTTATTTATTTAACTCTAGCCTTTTATTTCTAACAGGAACTATTTATCAGTGTATTACTCATAACCTACATTCTTAAACTGAAATTATGTTTTGAGCCAAATAGTCAAGTAGGTACTAAGTTCTTAAAGAGAACCTTCATTGACTGAAACAAAGGAAGAATGGATAAAACTACAAAGATTTAACCTCATATAAAAATATTCCACCAAGCAGGATCATTTTAAAGCACTATAGTATTTGTATCTAGCCATAACTCAAAGGAATTATCAGTAGGAAATGCAGTTAACTGACAAGCAGAAAAAGAAGGAAGTAAACCAGTTAATCTACCATTTTTATGTTAAAATGCAGTAAGTATAGCACACGTCACGACTGAAAAGGCATCGTCATTTTGCCAAGCCAGCTTCCTTTATCCATGTCTGAAAAGGACCATGTCAGGAGAAAAAGGTGGAGAGGTAACTTTCTGTTGCCAGCTTAAACTTCCTACTTCATCCTGAACTTCCCAAGGATGTGACTTGTGCCAGTAATGATGGGGACTTTATACGGTTTTTAATATACCTTGTACAGTTTGTATAAAATGTAGAGGCCATCAAATTCATACCATGTTAAGTCAGAAGTGAAGTCAGTTTCACACACAGCAACATCCATGGCCTACTGGAAGATTACTTCCCATTCTGAGGAAAGTTGTGAATTTTACTTCCCGGGGATACTATTACTGTTTCACTCCTGAACTGGAACTCCCCCAAAAAGCATACCTGTGAAAGCCACTCCTCATCCTCTTGCCCGCTGTGGTCAGATGCTAAGCTGTCGTATGACTCATGGCGAGTGATCGGTCCGGGGCTCCCTGGTGGAACCACTGAAAAAATCAGAAAATTGAAAAATCAGATTTACTGCTAAATGCTTTTAAAAAAAGCTTTTTCAGTAAGTTATTAGTACAGCAACGTATATATTTTCCTAAATCTGTGACAATATGCTGGAGCACAGAAAGAGCTCAAATATTGACATCAAAAGTGATGAAAACATTTCTGTTCTTTGACTTGAATGTATACATACAGCCACTATGATAACCCAATTGGCTCTTCTCCTTTTAACCTTAAGTACTTATTGAACATGCAGAACAGCCAATACAGACAACAACCATCTGTCTTGAGGAATTTAACTCTGAGAAATGCCACTGTCAATGATGTGTTCTACAAACTTTTCAGAATTTGAACTATGCTAAAGCACACTGACAAAAGCTATCCTGAGGCACCGGTACAGGTACTGACTTCGAACACAGAGTACTTCCAAGACTTCATGAACTGAATTATCACTCTCATTTTGACATTAATGTAGTTAATTTAAAGCTGGCTTCACAAACAACTTGATTTTTAGGATTTGACTTTTTTGCTATTTAATTGGAAGTGCTTCATTATCATCTTAGTGTCACCTTTTCCTTATACTAATAACAATACATTAATTAAGAATCCGTAACAAAGCAGAGTTTGGTGTTTAATTTGCTACAGAGACTAAATACTGAGATTATTTCACTGGACTGTAAAATACCAGAAATTCTATACTCAAGTGTTGCATTGCATTATAGAAATACTGTATAATAATTTTGGACAGGTAAGAAAAACACTTTTTTCAGGTGCAGATGACACTGATAACTAGAAAGATATATTAGTTCAAGCTGAAGGACAAATTCATCAGCAGCTATTAAACACAACAGTCCAGACACAACCTCCAGGAAACCCATAACCTCCAAACTCCCGGACTCCAGTCGCTACCAGAGATCGGAGGCTGGGTAAATTTTTGTTTTGACTGAACATCAAATCTGCCCACAGTGCTCATTAGCAAACCTTTTCTTGACAGCACCATGAAAATCCTACATTACTATAACTGCTTAAATACCCAAGTCTCTACTGTATTCAAAAGACTGGTACAAACAAATACACAGATAAAAACTAGGTTAATTTTGTTCCTCTATTCACTACTCTCATTCGTCTTCATAGGGACTCATTGCAGCAGAAAAATGCAAGTTCTTCAGCTCTGTAGACTGCATGATATCCGAAACCGCTTTTAAAACTATTACCATATATATGTACAACTTCGGGGAAAATCACAATTTAGTGTTCAAATGCTACCACAAAAAAGAGAGAGAATCATAGACTCATTATTGTAAAGATTATTATTTCATGAGTCCTGGTCCTTAAGTCATTTAAATATGTTAGCAAAGCTTACAGTCAAGCTACTTTACTTTCTATGGCAGTAGCATTACATTGCTCTAACTAAAACTTCACACTTGAGAAAGCTGAATGAGTTTAGAAAAAGCAAAATGCAAGCGAGCACCCCAGACAGTAAGACAGGTGGTATTTTTCATTTTCTTGTACCTGCTTACTGTCAGGGGGCTGTTGGAGGCCTGGATTTAATACCAAGAAATCATACCCACTTTGAGGGAAGAGCAAACACCACAAAAGCAAATTAAAAGAAGCAAATGCAACAATGGTATTTTTAGTTTGGTAAAACAAGAGAGTTTTATGCTATAGCGTTAAGATACCGGACAATCCTAAAATTAGAACCGATATTTTTATATTCACATAATCTAAAAATGACTCAGTTTTTAAAATTGATTTTTAAAAACTATATTATTGCAGGGTTGACCTTTATGTGTCAAGTTTCCATCCACTACAAATTTTTACAGCCATGTTGTAAACCCCTAATAATAGGAGTTTATAATGGCAAAGCAGACACAATTGTAACCATAAATACAGAACGGCGCCTCTATAATATAAACAGCACAGGGTTTTCATAAATCCATACACTATATGAAATAAAGGGATTTTCATCCTGTTTGTGTAAGTGGGTATCTGAATCCAACCTCAGCTATGGAGCCATTTCTAACACCTCTGTATTGCAGTGTGTCCTTATTCCGAAACCTGCAATATACCAAATTCAGTTCAGGGCCTAACTTATTAAAGAGTTATTTAAAGTGCTATATATATTAGGACATATTCTTACAAAGTATCAAGGTTTTCCCATGAGATATTATGCATCTGCCATATTCATTGAAATCAATACAATTTGTGCCTGCACGTGTGTACATACACACCTCAGCAATCATAGATGTTATTTCAATATTGTGTGTTCATCAGTTTTCACGATAATATAGAAACTACATTCATCTGCTTCATTACAGCCATGACAGATCTAATTCAATGACTCGCGGATGTGTCTGTCTAGCCCATATCAAACTCGTATTAAGAAAATACACATACCTTCCTGGATTACGAACAGCGGACGATTCACAGTAAACATCTGAATATGAAATCATAATGCCCACACCACTTCCTTACCAGTAAAGTTTATATTTGAGACCGACAAAACAAAAACATTATTTTGACACGTTTTGCTGTTGCCCTAATCTTCCCCGCATCTCCTGACTCTCCTACAATAAATTCTCCTGACTGCAGTAATGCCTGTTTCTGAGGGCACAGCTGATCAACTGCAGGCTTTCCTGTTATTGAACTCTGCTAACAAACTGTTCATGACTCTAGCAGATGTTTTTGCTTTCAAACCAACAGGAACTTTATGGACTGTTCTGAATTTTTTTTGTTCTTTCTGTCCCAGGGGCAACTACTAGAGCTGTCAAGATTAGGGAAGCTGCTATTCAGTGACTAACTGCAAAAACGCTAGCCCGGGGAGCAGCATCCACCCCGCTTTGTCACTGTATTTCTCCCCTGCGTAATACTCTTACATTTTACTGGAGATTCAAGACGGCCTTATAGTGAAAAAGAAATTCAAATTTAAGAGTTTTGGTCCTACGCTGTATGCCTTTTCCTGAAGAATCGCAGCTTTGCATAGGTCTTGCAATAACATGCGTTTCAGTGCAGCTTCAGAGCGCAGCATTAACTCTTTCTACCAAAAAGTGACGACATGCTGAATTCCACGAAAAAGCTCTGCCTTAGAGTTCACCAGCAGGGCAACAGTGATAAAGCCTTAGCTGAGGTCAAACCTCAGTAATTTATTTTGCTATTTAATAAAATAGCATTTATGTACCACACCTATCACAAAAGCAGGCATTTAAAGAGAGTCTGGTTTTGATAGCAGGATCCCATAATGATGGTCCCAGCCTTACCACAGGCAAAGCAAGCTCTACTCCCACTGCCCTTGGTGGGAGCACGCAGCGTTTTGTGAGATATGACCTTATAAGACAAGTGATCCTTGCTGGAGATTTGCCATCGCTGTACCGCTTATTACAGATATACATATGGTCATTTTTTTTCAGGTTAAAAATGGCCTTGAAGTTATAGGAACAAATACGTCCTAAAAATGTAAAACCGATTCTTTCTTCATTTCTGGGTCATGCACCTCTTGCATTGGTATCAAGTTCCAAGATGAGATTAATTTAAGTCCAGAGGGACATTTCCAGGAATTTGAGCTCAAAAGTAATCTTTTATCTTCCAGCTTAATTCTCTGAAAATCTGAAATCACACTGGAAATTATGGCAGCCTCTTACACAGCAGTGAAGCTATTCTTACGCTGTAACACAGACTTTTTTCCAATTTCCAAAGAATTTCACTAAAATGCAGGATAGCCAATAATAAAATTCAAATTCCTCAAAAGCTTTGCAGCAAGTCATGTTTTCTCTTGCACTCCTGTAATTTCTCTTTCACTGGGAAAAAGTCACAAATGGCACACACACAGACAAGGAGCAAGCAAGCCCTTGTGGCACAGATAGTTTACTGGCAATTGCAGGTGGTTTGTACCTGCCTAAAATAATAAATTCAATGCTTTGTGTCTGAGCTATGCCAATTTTTAACTTTTTGCTATTCTTACACCAACACCTGGAACAAACATACATCAAATATCAGAATGCAACTGAGTTTCTTTAATCCAGGAATACACAAACATGCAGAAATTTGTACAATTACCCATGGAGTGAAAAAGTACAAAGAAAATGAGTGTTTATTAAAAATCTAAGGTGAGAATTAGAACATACAACTTTTGTTTATGCAGTATAACAGGACATGAGTTTCTAAAGTCCACTTACATATGTAAAAAACCTCCATAAGCAAGCACTCAAGGTCATTTTTTAAAAACTGGAGTGCTGCCTACAGCAAAAATCAGAGCTTTGCCATAAATATTTGGCAAGGGGCAAAAAAAATCTTTGAGCTGCTCAAAAATAATAGTAGCACCTTTAATCTCTGTCCTCCTTCACGTGAAAAGTGATCTGCATCGACTCTAAATCTGGAATATATTCCTGTCCCTCCATCCTGACTAGCTCTACTGAACCACTCCACATTTAACAAAGGAAAAACAGAATCTCAGCCAAAACTGTTGTTCTTCATCTCCTTTCATAACTTGAACACTGTCATCTCATTTTCCACCCTTAAAATCAAAGGTGCAGGTGCTTACCCGTAATCTAAGGTAAATTCTTAAAGTTTACAGACTCCCTTCTCTGAAGTTACTGGACTAATCTTACTACTATGTTGAAGAAAGATTATTAAAAGCAAGGGTCTGAAAAAAACCACATTACAAATTTAGTCATTTATGTGATAATTGTTAGTGTTAGGAAAACTGCACAGAAGTGACTGTGGAGACAAAAGTTTCAACACAAGCCAAAACAAAGGCTGAAATACAGCTCAGCTGATATTCCTCTGGAACTCCAGGACCTGTTTCATACAGTTCAATGATTAAGTATGAAAAAAAACATTGTTTTGAAACTTTGCCAAGACATTTAGTGACAAATAAAGAAAACAAACAATGTATATTAACCTCAAATAATTTGCATAGGCATTC